CTCAGTTTTCTGTGGAACAGAACACAGAGAGTAACAGTTAACCATATAAAATCGAGTTCAAGCGCAGTTAAAAGCTCCGTACCTCAGGGTACAGTCCTTGCACCGCTGATTTTCCTTATTCTCTATATAGGCTCAAATACAAGTCACAGCTTCGTATCATCCTTTGCAGATGACACAAAAATCAGCATGAAAATTACCTCTGTAGAAGACATTGAAAAACTACAAGCAGATATTAATAACGTTTTCGACTGGGCAGCAGATAATAACATGAGGTTTAACGGCGATAAATTCCAGGTACTCAGGTACGGTAAAAATGAGAACCTTAAACATAATACAGAGTACAAAATACAATCGAATATGTCCATAGTAGGAAAGCAACATGTGAAGGATTTGGGAATAATGATGTCTGATGACCTAACATTTAGGGAGCATAACCAAGCAAATATCGCGTCAGCCAGAAAAATGAGAGGATGGACTACGAGAACTTTCAAATCCAGGGATCCCATCACAGTGGTTGTACTCTTCAAATCACTTGTGTTGTCCCGTCTTGAGTACTGCTCAGTACTCACTTCCCACTTCAGAGCAGGAGAGATTGCAGAAATAGAGGGAATACAGAGAACATATACGGCACGCATAGGCGAGATAAAACACCTAAATTATTGGGATCGTCTCAAAGCTCTCCAAATGTACTCACTAGAAAGGCGACGAGAGAGATACCAAATAATATACACATGGAAAATACTGGAGGGACATGTCCCAAATCTACACAGTAAAATAACAACGTACTGGAGTGAACGATATGGAAGAAAATGCAGAATAGAACCAGTGAAGAGCAGAGGTGCCATAGGCACAATCAGAGAACACTGTATAAACATCAGAGGTCCACGGTTGTTCAACGTCCTCCCAGCGAGCATAAGAAATATTGCCGGAACAACCGTGGACATCTTCAAGAGGAAACTAGATAGTTTTCTCCAAGGAGTGCCGGACCAACCGGGCTGTGGTGGATATGTGGGCCTGCGGGCCGCTCCAAGCAACAGCCTGGTGGACCAAACTCTCACAAGTCAAGCCTGGCCTCGGGCCGGGCTTGGGCAGTAGAAGAACTCCCAGAACCCCATCAACCAGGTATATGTGGGCCTCGGGCCGCTCCAAGCAACAGCCTGGTGGACCAAACTCTCACAAGTCAAGCCTGGCCTCGGGCCAGGCTTGGGGAGCAATAGCAACTACGAACTTGTTCACTCTAGTACTCTGTTTCACTCCCTGTCTCACTCATGACTATACTGTATTCACTCATTGTTCCCACTACTGTATACTCACACTGCACCTATTGTACTCACTCATTACATCTATTTTATTCACCCATTACTTTCAAACAACAGTCTGATGGACCAAGTTATCACAAGGCTTGGGGAGTAGAACAATTCCCGAAACCCACCCCAGGTAAACTCCAGGTAAACTCATTACACTCACTGTACTCATTACACTGTAGTTCTGAAACCTCACCTGATATCCTCCCACAAACATACACATGTTATCCTTCGATTGCATGTCTGTATGCACCAAAATTGGTGGTGTATGACAGTAAGGATTAGGGAGGCTGGCTAGTACTCGAGTGGGTGACCTCTACTGGGTCACGTTGGTAAGTAAAGAGCAGGCACCTCGTCCTCGACTATGGGTAGCTCGTCCTCGACTTTGGGTAGCTTATCCTCGACTCTGGGTAGCTGATCCTCGACTCTGGGGAGCTCGTCCTCGACTCTGGGGAGCTGATCCTCGACTCTGGGTAGCTCGTCCTCGACTCTGGGTAGGTCGTCCTCGACTCTGGGTAGCTCCTCCTCGACTCTGGGTAGCTTATCCTCGACTCTGGGTAGCTCGTCCTCGACTCTGGGTAGCTCGTCCTCGACTCTGGGTAGCTCATCCTCGACTCTGGGTAGCTGATCCTCGACTCTGGGGAGCTCGTCCTCGACTCTGGGGAGCTCGTCCTCGACTCTGGGGAGCTCGTTCTCGACTCAGGGGAGCTCGTTCTCGACTCTGGGTAGCTCGTCCTCGACTCTGGGTAGCTCCTCCTCGACTCTGGGTAGCTCCTCCTCGACTCTGGGTAGCTCCTCCTCGACTCTGGGTAGCTCGTCCTCGACTCTGGGTAGCTCGTCCTCGACTCTGGGTAGCTCGTCCTCGACTCTGGGTAGCTCGTCCTCGACTCTGGGTAGCTCGTCCTCGACTCTGGGTAGCTCGTCCTCGACTCTGGGGAGCTCGTCCTCGACTCTGGGTAGCTCGTCCTCGACTCTGGGTAGCTCGTCCTCGATTCTGGGTAGCTCGTCCTCGACTCTGGGTAGCTCATCCTCGACTCTGGATAGCTCGTCCTCGACTCTGGGTAGCTCATCCTCGACTCTGGGTAGCTCGTCCTCGACTCTGGGTAGCTCGTCCTCGACTCTGGGTAGCTCGTCCTCGACTCTGGGTAGCTCATCCTCGACTCTGGGTAGCTCATCCTCGACTCTGGGTAGCTCATCCTCGGACCAAGGGAGCCGGTAGGCCGAGCGGACAGCACGCTGGACTTGTGATCCTGTGGTCCTGGGTTCGATCCCAGGCGCCGACGAGAAACAATGGGCAGAGTTTTTTCACCCTATGCCCCTGTTACCTAGCAGTAAAATAGGTACCTGGGTGTTAGTCAGCTGTCACGGGCTGCTTCCTGGGGGTGGAGGCCTGGTCGAGGACCGGGCCGCGGGGACACTAAAGCCCCGAAATCATCTCAAGATAACCAAGCGCGAGGATGAGTTAATTATCTTAATGTAGTTAGCAGTTGTTTAATCAGTAAGATCATTTAATTATGAATGTGTGTGTGTACTCACCTAGTTGTGCTTGCGAGGGTTGAGCTCTGGCTCTTTGGTCCCGGTATTGACTCTAGGGATCCCCTAGAGTGCAAAGATCAAATCAAATGGGTGCAAATCCATTTGCGGATCAACTTGCGGAATTTACGGATCAAATCCGTGACAGCTGGCTAACTCCCAGGTACCTATTTACTGCTACGTAACAGGGTCATCGCGGTGAAAGAAACTTTGCCCATTTGTTTCTGCCTGGTCCGGGAATCGAACCCGGGCCACAGAATTACGAGTCCTGCGCGCTGTCTGCTCAGCTACCAGACTTCCTCTCTGGTGTGTGTGTGTGTGTGTGTGTGTGTGTGTGTGTGTGTGTGTGTGTGTGTGTGAGTGTGTGTGTGAGTGTGTGTGTGAGAGTGTGTGTGAGAGTGTGTGTGTGTGTGTGTGTGTGTGTGTGTGTATGTGTGTGTGTGTGTGTGTGTGTGTGTGTATGTGTGTGTGTAGATACGTTGGGGTTTGTGGGGAGGGGGTAATTGTGGGGAGGGGGTAATTGTGGGGAGGGGGTAATTGTGGGGAGGGGGTGATTGTGATGAGAGGGGAGTTGATGGGGAGAAGGGGGATGGGGGGGAAGTTGCATAAAGTTGTTGCGTTACATCAGTGTGATGATAGCAGGACATGCCAGGATGGTGTGGGAAGAGTTGCATCAATGTGAGGGGAAGTTTGTGTCGGGTTGAGGAGGAGTTACGTCAAGTTGATTGGTGGGTCAGGGAGGAGGTGCGGTGGAAGGGGGGGGGAGGGGTGATGGCTGACTAGGGGACATGTGGCAAGATGATTGAGTAGTTTCTCACACTCTCTCTCTCTCACACACACACACACATATATATATATATATATATATATATATATATATATATATATATATATATATATATATATATATATATATATATATTTCTTCATTTGTTAATGTAAACTTATTTATGCTTTGGATCATTCATGATCGGATATGTCGATACCTGTGTCCATGTTTTGGTATTTCTCTCAGTAGGGAGATGATGTTGAAACCTTTGCTACCACTGTAAGCCCTCCTTGATACCACTGTACCACTGTAGGTCTACCCACTGGTGCTCTTAAGTATATTTCCTCAAGTCTAAACTTAAGTCTACACAATATTCACAGTCGAGGGTAACCTAGTACCACTAGTCTCGTCCACAACCAATGGTACCTTCAAGGAATTGCTTAATCTTAAGTCAAAGGAGATCCCACCGCCTGCCACCATTGTAATCCTCTGTTATATCTTCTCTACCACTCTACACCTCCTGCTGGCGAGACGGAAAGACAGAGTAAGGAACAGACAGTAAGGAATAAGGCGATAAAGGGAGAGGAGAGAGGGAAGGGTGGAAGGGATAGAAAACGGAGACGCGGAGGGGAGAATAGAAAACGAGGAGCGAAACAGAAGTGATAGGAGAAGAAAGGAGTAGAAGAAGGAGAAAAGTGAAAAGAGATACTTAATACTAAATTCTTTCACTACCCAATTACATTCGTTACTTCAATAGTAGTGATAATTTCTAATTAGAGGATTTAAATTTTGCCCCGAGGGGCGAGTTTATTGGGCAGCGCCACTCATCCTGGGAGTGGACACATCGCCATAGTGACAGTATTGGGCAGCGCCACTCATCCTGTGAGTGGACACATCGCCATAGTGACAGTATTGGGCAGCGTCACTCATCCTGTGAGTGGACACACCATCATAGTGACAGTATTGGGCAGCGTCACTCATCCTGTGAGTGGACACACCGCCATAGTGACAGTATTGGGCAGCGCCACTCATCCTGTGAGTAGACACACCGCCATAGTGACAGTATTGGGCAGCGTCACTCATCCTGTGAGTGGACACACCGCCATAGTGACAGTATTGGCCAGCGCCACTCATCCTGTGAGTGGACACATCGCCATAGTGACAGTATTGGCCAGCGCCACTCATCCTGTGAGTAGACACACCGCGATAGTGACAGTATTGGGCAGCGCCACTCATCCTGTGAGTGGACACACCGCCATAGTGACAGTATTGGGCAGCGCCACTCATCCTGTGAGTAGACACACCGCCATAGTGACAGTATTGGGCAGCGCCACTCATCCTGTGAGTGGACACACCGCCATACTGACAGTATTGGGCAGCGCCACTCATCCTGTGAGTAGACACACCGCGATAGTGACAGTATTGGGCAGCGCCACTCATCCTGTGAGTGGACACACCGCCATAGTGACAGTATTGGGCAGCGCCACTCATCCTGTGAGTGGACACACCGCCATAGTGACAGTATTGGGCAGCGCCACTCATCTTGTGAGTAGACACACCGCCATAGTGACAGTATTGGGCAGCGCCACTCATCCTGTGAATGGCGCTGAAAGCTCTTCACTCGTCCTGGGGTACTCTGAAAGTTCGTCACTCGTCCTGGGGTACTCTAAAAGCTCTTCACTCATCCTGGGGTACTTTGAAAGCTCTTCACTCGTCCTGGGGTACTCTGAAAGCTCTTCACTCGTCCTGGGGGTACACTTGAAAGCTCTTCACTCGTCCTGGGGGTACACTTGAAAGCTCTTCACTCGTCCTGGGGTACTCTAAAAGCTCTTCCCTCGTCCTGGGGGTACTCTGAAAGCTCTTCACTCGTCCTGGGGTACTCTGAAAGTTCTTCCCTCGTCCTGGTGTACTCTGAAAGCTCTTCACTCGTCCTGGGGGTACTCTGAAAGCTCTTCACTCGTCCTGGGGGTACTATGAAAGCTCTTCACTCGTCCTGGGGGTACTCTGAAAGCTCTTCACTCATCCTGGGGATACTCTAAAAGCTCTTCACTCATCCTGGGGATACTCTAAAAGCTCTTCACTCGTCCTGGAGGTACTCTAAAAGCTCTTCCCTCGTCCTGGTGTACTCTGAAAGCTCTTCACTCATCCTGGGGGTACACTTGAAAGCTCTTCACTCGTCCTGGGGGTACACTTGAAAGCTCTTCCCTCGTCCTGGTGTACTCTGAAAGCTCTTCACTCGTCCTGGGGGTACACTTGAAAGCTCTTCACTCGTCCTGGGGTACTCTGCATTCTCTCCTCCAACCCCGGGATATATATATATACCCAAAACTACCCCCAGCTGATGTATCAGCTGGTGGTTGGGTTGAAAGCTACAGTGGATGACTTGTAGTCTACGACTCCCGGCCATCCGGACATTATCATCACGCAGGAATTGAAAGTTGTTTGGCAAGTGCTTAACCGGCCTGATCTCTTAACTAGCGGAGGAATCACCTGACCCTTGCACTTCAGGGAGGACGGAAGAAGAATTATCGAAGGGTGAGGGAGGATAGAGAAAAGAGAGAGAGAGAGAGAGAGAGAGAGAGAGAGAGAGAGAGAGAGAGAGAGGAGGGGGGAGACAGAGAGAGAGGGGGGAGAGAGAGAGGGGGGGAGACAGAGAGAGAGGGGGGAGAGGGAGAGAGAGGGGGAGAGGGAGAGAGAGAGGGGGGAGACAGAGAGAGAGAGGGGGGGAGACAGAGAGAGAGGGAGAGAGAGGGGGGAGACAGAGAGAGAAGGGGGAGAGGGAGAGAGATTTTCCTGGTTGTTACAGTGTTGGGGGTGGCAACCTGCTCTCGCACAAGACAGCACATATATGACTTGTTGCTTATAGTCACTATTTCGCTTATAAATAAGTACATATGTGACGTACGCCAAGCTATATTTTTTTCAAGGCACTAACTTTTTTCTCTCAGTTTTATTAAACAATAGAGATTTTATACAAAATTTGACAATATCCTGAGTTACTTTACAATTTATTTGCATACTTTAGTTTTGTTTTATTATTTTTATAAAACTGTAATATCAATATAGGTATTGGTTCAGTACTAATTGTAATATTTTAACATACTAAGAAGGTTAGGTTAGGTTAGGTTAGGTTAGGTTGTGGTTTTCTATTCAGCATTTCAAGGTAAACTCAAATATTCACAATAAATTAGTATGCCACATATGCACTTATTCATAAGCAAGATATTGACTATAAACAAGTACGACAACGGGTTGGGGGCTCGTGGAGTGATGGCTAGTGCCTGGAGGGGTGCCTCCAGGTACCATGTCACCTGGAGTGTGGCACGGTGCCTGGAGGCTGGCACGGTGATATTGAACCTTGGCGACACGGTATGAATATCTCAGTAACACTGCATTCCTGGGAGCTAGTACCCCTTCTCGGCCCCCCACTCCCCTCCCCCCCCCCCTACACGGTGACAGTCCACAAGAAAGGGTTGAAGACAATTCTTTCAACTACAGACCCACATCACTGCTCAACCTGTTCTCCTAAAAAGAACGTCGCTTTTGGCCGTTTGCCCGTATGGCCGAATATGGACGAAAATTTGAAAATTTGAATTTGAAAATGAAAATTTGAAAATGAAATGAATGAAAATGAAATTTGAAAATTTCAATTTGAAAATGAAAAAAAAAATTAATATAAATTTGGGATTTTTTTTTTTTTAAACAACAGTAAGTTAAGGGTCCTCTGATAGGTTAGGTTGGCAGGAAATTCTCATAAAGTTGCAAAATGGTATGAAAAACGTTAATGGAAAGAATCCTTTTCTAAGCTTGCCGAGTAAGCCGGACGACTCAAACAGAAAACGGAACAGAACGTCACTTTTGTGAGTCGATTTCCATTTCAAATTACGTCCAAAT